TAGTATAACATCTCTTAAGTGTGAGTGTGTGAGCGAGTGTCTGTTTGTTTGTATTTGTATTGTCATGTTTTCTTGATGTATTGTGTCAATAAAAAAAAAAGAAAGAAAGAAAGAAAATAAAAAAGAACTATAACAAAATATGTAAAAGGGCCTTAAAACGAATATTTTATACTACTGCAATGCTAAACTGTTTCTTCAACTGAATCAATAATCCAAAACCATGTATAGGTTTGTGAAAAGCTCTTAAAATAAACATGTTTGCCCCACAGACACACTTATTGAGCAAAATTGTTTTGATTCTTTTGTGTTGTGGAAACTAAATGTGAAACAACAATGCTAACTCCGTGACCTATTTTCAACATGGCGGGTACTAGGACTATCCCCGGAGCAACTGTGGAGAAAATCACATCGTCTTTTCAGTGTTAAACCATAATGCTTTCTTAATTTTATGAAGAACACGCACTAGAGATGCTAAGGTACATCTCAGAAGGATTGGTGTGCACCAGAATATAACAAGAAATGACCATAGCAGCTGGCCGTCCTTAGAATGTGCATTATTTTGTTGAACCACTTTAGACTGTTGTTAGTCTTGGATTCTACAATATATTCAGCTCATCGATTTAGCTCTGGATGTTTGTTGTAAGGTAAGTGATCACACACACACACACACACACACACACACACACAAACACACACACACACACACACACACACATATATATATATATATATATACAGACTTGACATTTAATATGGAATATTTATTTCCAAATTATTTTTCATTAGTTTTTTCCTATTTTGCTGACTGATAAATGAAAATAAGGATTGAAATCGTGTTTTAATAACTTTTATTTATCTCTTTGATGTCACTGTGACATCAGTTCATTAACTGAATTCGCCAGTGAAGCAAACAAAAATGCATTGCCTATTTCAAGTCAAATGAAAACCACTGAAAGCGATATTTTGGATCTCCATATTTTTGAAATTATCGTCTTTAAAAGAGTAATATGCCCCACAAAGGACCTTCATGTCAGCGTCTTGTCGCAGCAATGGTCGCTGTAACACCTGACCTCATCTGGCTGCTACCAGAGATTTCAAGCGGCAAGACATTCCTTAGGATAGGTTTTTAGAGCTTAATCTGGGAAAAATACCATGCAACGATCAAAACTTGTCCAATTTAGTTCAGTTTTGTTGTAGGCCATGCAGGCCGTTGATTCGGAGAGTAATAACCTACCCACGTACTGTCTATGTGGTTCCAATATGGCGAGTTTGATGACCAATGTATCTGCTCAATCCCTTGGCTCTGTAAGTTATCTGCTATTAAAAGTGCTCTGTGTGAACGGGCAATTTCATCGTGCAACCTAAAATTGTTCCCAAGGCGCCTCCTATCAAATGATAGTCAAATGGTTCCCAGATTATCCCTTTATTGCAGCTGGTTTAGGTTTTCATCAATGACTACCATTGGTGTTTTGGCACCGATGCGGTATCCACTCCAAATACTGACGCTGTCAATGACCCTAGTCACTTTAGAAGAGGCACACGCCTTGTCGTAGGCCACTTCAGGATGTCTGTAAAATCTGTTTTGACCAGTTTTGCGGTACAGGTGAAATCCGACCTCAATAAAGAAAGCCGCCCGGTTTCAGTGTTCTACCCAGAAACGGTCATGGTCCTCATTTCATTAGAGAAACAGACGGCGTTGTTTTGCTGTTTACAGTGGCTTCCTCAGAGGTCGTTTGGTATCCTAACCTGCTAAAAACAGTTTGGTATTCGCTAAGAGCCTTGAAAAACATGTTATGGTGACAATTTGACCCTCATTCTGAACGGACTTGGTGGGTTTTGTTTAGTTGCAGCAGCATATCCTGAAGGAAAGTGAGTCCTGTACCCTGGTGGTGAGATGTCAATGCATTGGGCGTGGTCTCTGTGTAGGTACATCAGGGTGGGCATAACTCCATAAAACTGTGCAGACCATTCCGTTTGACGCAATAATCTGCCTGGCAATGTGTCTTTTTCGTGCCATTCTGGCACATATTAACACTTTTGTAAAACATTGTTTAACTCATTTTACGTACTGCAAAACCAACCGCTTGCATGCAAAATTTTAAATTCTTTCATGCAGTAGTAACCGACATATGGATACTTTTTTGACAGAACCATGCCTCGCCAAAGTCAAGCTTTGACCCGACCAAAGGAGCACTACCCAATTAAATCACTGCATATAACACAATGCAGCAGTGCAACAGACTTAGTAGTCAGTTAATTGGTAGCGACACACCTGATTTCACACTTCTCCAGTCAGATAACTTATATGATATCTGAGTTTTATGAAAAAAGAACGGATTTTTTTACCTAGGCATACCTTTAAAACTGAAATATTCCATATTAAATGTCAAGTCTATATATATATATATATATATATATATATATATATATATATATATATATATATATTCCGACAAAGTCAGATCTGCCACTATTTCAGGTGGTCTTCTATGTAGTAATAATCTACCCTGTTGTTGAGAATAGCCGTTTTTGCCGTTTTTTTATTTGTGTCAGTGGTGGCATACATATATGAGAACCACGTTCACTAAAATCTCAAACCAGTTTTAGTAATAAGTTTGAATATTTTGTCAGTAAATTGTAAGAAATATTAAGCAAAATTAAAAAGACTTACTGGTATATTTCAATTCACAGAATTTTACTTGATTTCTATTTCATGGCAAACATGTCTGCTGAAAATAATTAACTGTGTATCTAACTTATGAAGTATAATTGTGCATTAAATTCTAGGGATGTGTTACGTGTGTTATCATAACACAAACAGTTAAGAACAACTGAGCTTGAAGACAGCTTCATTAGAAAGTTCTTACCCAGAATCAAAGGTATGTAACGCACATTCAGTTTCAAGTCATGGTATTTTAGGGGATGTTACTTGAGCCAGTTTTTTATATTTTAGTTTTATATTCACTATGCATATTTATGTGTGTTTACAATTAAGTTGAAGTTAACCAACTAGCTTTACAAGGCATGTGGCTTTGTACTGTGCTTTGCACTTTGCTTCAATTTTCAAGACTTACAGTAATAATAATAATTATTTTTCCGTTGTACGACGTTTTAATTGTTTTAACGTTGGAATTGTTTTAATTCCTATCCTGTGAATAGAAGGGGGCGGACAAACAATGGAGAGCCGTCTAATTCCCATCAAAATTCGAACGCAAAAACACAATAGTTTAGGCGTAATAACACACCCTAGGCGAGTGAACCCCATGACGCCAGTATCTGTGGTCCAGCGCGAGCGCAACAATCCGCTGTAACAAAGTGTAATTAACAGCAGGATACATCAGCCAGAAGGCCCCCATTGTTTGTTGTGGCGAAAGGATTATAGCTGTAAGAGGCTTGAACCCATGCTACCGCGTGCCACTAAACTGTCTCCCGTAGCGAACTGTCCTTTTGTTCACTAGTTTGGCACGCGCAGCTGATTATCTTTTTAGTGTTGCTAAAAAACTGCTACTTAAATTTGTTATCAGGTATTTCATTCAATATGAATTTTCCGTAGTCAAAAATTACACTTAGTATTGTTTGTTTGATTAACACGCATGAGCGTCGGTATCAACGTCAAAAAAATCATTGCATTTATTTATGAATAAATAATTTATTTACTAACTTACTAGTTCAAGTATTTATAAAACATGAACGATAATGAATGAGGAATAAGGAAAATAACAGCCAATATCATTTCCAAAAAGGAACAATACATGGCAAATATATTACTCATACTATATTTATATTATAATATTTAAATTAAATGAGGTGCATTGACAGAGACGCAAGGAGAATCCAACTCCAACGTGCAACAGGGGGACCTATGACATTGTGATCACACAATAGTAGTAGTAGTAGTAGTAGTAGTAGTAGTAGTTTATTATCACCACTGTATGCGTATGATTACATAATAAATATCTAGCGAGCAGAACATTACATACAGGGATAAATGATCAATATAGGCAATACAAGTATAATATGTATGCGCAGTACCATACCATGACAAAAACTTATAGTTCGGTACACCGTTTTTAAAAGCTACGTACGTTTCTGATATGAAACGACTAAGTGCAAACTGTTCTTTGAAAATAGATCCCCTAAGGATGTATATACCAGCTCAGGGTAGGCTGAACGCGTCACTGATGTGAGCTCGCATTTGTTTATAACATTTAGCTCTGTTTGCATTTCACCACACTTGCAGACACGTTCGTTCCTCTCTTTACGACACCAACGATCCGTTTCGATTGCCAATCTATGAGAACTTAGCCTAAACCTAGTAGTAGCTATGCGTATATATTCCGGGATATCGAAGCGGTTTGAGTACATATCCCACACTTCCAGATTGGGGTTCATTTCTAAATAAGTCGTTGCTTTTGTTTGATTCGAATTTTTCAGTTGATCTTTTAGGTTTTCAATGTCCAAGTAAATATGATCGGATGTTGCTAACACTTTCTGATAGTACGTTGACGCTTTTGTCTTAGCATCTGCACAAGTTTTCCACATGAATATGAAAGGGTCGTATACATGTATATTGTATATAAAATAACGTCTGATTTATAGCAATAATATCTAAATACTGTGTGACGAACTATTAATTAAGATGCATACATTTGCCACAAAAACCGACCAAATACCAGCATATTCTCTCAAGTAGTATAACTAAGATAATTACCAAAATGCATTGTTTAATTTTAACCGAAAATGGTGTTTGAACGGATTTTTCTGCTAGCATTCTATGCTTATGTCAATGGGACAGAAAAGTAGGTCACGAAAGTGGGTAAAATTTCCGACCAAAAATTTAAAGAAAGGAGCAGTCTAAAGCTCTCTGATGGCTGGTCGAGTGATCTATTCAGTTTATCCCTTGGCATGTCGAATTTATTTGAATCGTATAAGAAACTAGTAGAAGTGGTTTACATGTGTTACTGGGAATCCAAGCTCCACCGTATATGTACCTTTAAATTTCTAGACTCCCATTAGCCATGCGTTGGGTGTAGTACTAAATGATCCAGTATGGTGGCCAAATCCCAAGAAGTAAGTAATTTTAGAATAACAATTTATATAGAAACATACGATATGGCGTGCGTTTATTTTGGAACAAGGCGAAGACAAGTTTAAACTAGTATGATGAAATTAAGAGAGAACCGACATTTCGATGAGCTATATATTGATATTAAATTTGTCAAAATCAGAATTCATAACTGTCGTTCACTTTTCAAATTACGTTTAAAGCTTCACTTTGAGACATCAAGCCTGGCCTTTTCTGATTTAGAGTATAAATTGGAACTAACGTATTTTCCCAGGTTTGATCCAGATCGTTTCAGCCCGGAGAAAGTGTCAGAGCGCCACCCCTACTCCTTTCAACCGTTTGGTTTTGCTGGCAAGAGGAAGTGTCCTGGGTACCGTTTCGCTTACGCAGAAGTGGCTACGGCACTAGCGAACATTCTGCTGAGGTTTCAGGTGTGCTGTAAAGAACCCAAAAAACGATAAATTTGCTTTTTCAGACAAACCCTACAAGGAGATGGTGTATCTGTTTATCAATAAGAAAGGAACTAAGTTCAATTCTGTTGTCACATAGTACAATTAACTAATTGGAAACCATACACATATGATATATTAATATATTATTATAATTTATTCAACTCATCAGTTTTGTCGCATTTGTAGGTTCATGAGGTCAAAGGTCAGAAGGTCAAGGCCAAGTATGGACTAGTTACAACCCCTGAAGACGAAGTCTGGATAACACTGACTGAGAGAACCTCCAATAATTCAGTTAAATAGATGGAATTAAATTTATTATTAAAAAAAAACTTCAACCGACATTTGTCAGAGTGACGTCATTAAAAAGAATTATGTTAAGTACAAGAGTACTGGAGTACAAATCTGAGAAGCAGCCTTCTTTTTCATTTCAAAATTGACGGTATCTCAACACAAGTACATTTTGTTTATTCATATTGTTCTATTTCCTTGTCAAAGACCGTTGATTTACTCCATCATCATACAACCCGCAATTTGCAGATCATAAAAGATTTAATGTCTATCCATATAGATTTGATTTTATGTAAGAACCGTCTATCTATATAATTTGATAGGGATGATATTATTCTAATGCTGTTCTTTTTATACTAAATAATGCATAGTAGCCAGAAATAATAATAATATATTAAAATTAAATGCCAAGTTTTTTGAAAGATTGTGTTTCTTTTTGAATACTCTACGATAGAGGTCGCTGCGCGACCAAAATAAGACTAAGTGCTAGAAACTGTCATGCAAGTGTTTGTTCCTGATGACGTAGGTTTACAAAAAACGAATATTACACAGATAAATACATGTCCAGCAAGCGAAAAGACAGAAAGAAAGTGTAAGGTTTTTACTCATATATATACAAGGCTTCCTAACTACTAGGTGCGATAATGATTTATAGAATATTATACGTAATACGCGTGTTTGTGTGTGTGAATATGTGACACAAAAATCCCTGTACTAGAAACAGATTCTATTTTACAGTAGAAACATGAAAAAATGTGGAGAAACTTTGCACAGAGGAGTAAGCAACAGAACCTCTTATTTAAAAAAAATACGTTTTTCATCTCCAGCTTTTACTGGTTCGAGACATCATTTGCCTGATATGTGTGTTATATGCAAATATATACAGCATTGGTCAAAAAGGTTGTCCCACCCCCATTTCCATGTACTTTTATTTACAAATGATCACCTAACAGCTGTTAATTGTTAGAAATAGTGTTTTTTATTACGTATACCGTGTCTAACATGATTAATGGTTTAAAAAATACAAAATAGTGGTGAAAATATACATATTTTATACCATTTAGTAAAATTTATAAGAGGTACCCCCTCAAATCGACTGTTTCACTGTGACTACTAAAGATGTAAAGAAATGACTATAAAATTAAAAAGACGCCATCAAATGTCACCAAATTCACACACAATTAGCATTAGGGTGTGCTCATTAAAGATCACGTGCCTAACAGCGTGTGCGTCTACCGCGTACTGCAATTATTTCCTGTAGACGGCGCGACAAGCCTTCAACTCGGGTTACAATTCTGTTTTGTGGGATATTGTATTCTTCTTCTCAAACAAGTTGGGGGAGTTGGTCCACGTTTTTATGGGGTTGGTTCTCCTTTGCATTGCACACTCCAATACATGTCACAGTTGATTAGTAAGTTTGATATCAGGGCTCAAAGATGGTGGTTCCATCCTTAGACCATTATGTTTCTTCAACAAACAGTTGCCAGGCAAGAGGTGTGAGCAAGTGTGCAGTCATGATAAAGCCTGAAGTTAACCCCAAAGTCAGTTCTTGAAGATGGAATGAGATATCAGCTGAGAATGCTACGTTCAGTGATCCCACAGGCACCTGAACCTGGCCATCCATCACTGGAAGGAAGTTGATTTTGATGCAGAATCAAATTATTTCTTGTATCCCATCGATGGTCAAAGAGGGTCCATAGACATGTTAAAAAATGCCTCTTGGAAGGGTGCGTGCAGGATAATATCGCCTGAGGTGTTAGATCAATCCGCATTTGGAGAACATTCCAAGCCCATGGTATTAGTACATTGTTCCTTTTGGAACAAAACGTAACAGGGGCATTTTGATGTAACATTCTCAACAGAAATCTCATTCCATTTGCAAGAGGTGACTTCAGGGATACTACTGGCTTCATTGTGACGACGCACTTGCTCACAGCTCTCGTCTGGCAAACGATTTGTTGCAGAAACACAGGGCTCTGAGGATGGGACAACCGTCTTTGAGTCCTGATATTAATCCTACTGAGCACCTGTGGCATAAATTGGAATGTGCATTGCAGAGGAGAACCAATTCCTAAATAATCTTGACCAATTCCGCCACGCTCTTTAGGATGAATGGGACAATATCCCACATAACAGAATTGTTACCCATGTTGAAGGCTTGTCGCGCCGTCTACAGGAGATTATTGCAGTACATGGTAGACGCACACGCTGTTAGGCACGTGATCTTTAACGAGCACACCCTAATGCTAATTGTGTTTGAATTTGGTGACATTTGATGGCACCTTTTCAATTTTATAGACATTTCTTTACATCTGTAGAAGTAACAGTGAAACAGTCGATTTGAGGGGGTACCTCTTATAAATTTTACTAAATTGTATAAAATATGTATATTTTCACCACTATTTTGTATTTTTTAAACCATTAATCATGTTAGACACGCTATCCGTGATAAAAAGCACTATTTCTAACAGTTCACAGCTGTGAGGTGATCATTTGTAAATAAAAGTACATGGAAATAGGGGTGGGACAACCTTTTTGACCAATGCTGTATATATATATATATATATAAACTAAACCTTGGAAATCCTAACTTAAAGGCCATAGATATATTTAACCATCAAATATGTCCTACTGCTTAACACATCCTGGCTAAAAAGATGTACTATGCTTAGGTGCAAAACATGCTTAGGAGCTAAATGCGTTGAAAAATGTGACAAAGCAGGCACTTGGGTGTTTTTACAATGTACGTTATAATTGTGTACCTGTGTTTTGTACTAAAAATAAAAACATTTCAGGTCCTTTTTATGTCTTTTCATGCAATAATGTTGTCTAACAACTGGGGTTGATACAATGTTGTTATATGACGTTGATACAACGTTGTTATCTGACGTTGATCCAACTTTAAAATCCAACGTTTATCCAATGTCTTATCAACGTTATGGTTCAACGTTGTTTCAACGTTAAAACAACATAATTTGCCCGCTGGGTTATATTCTACAGCTTCAGCTGGCCTATAAGGAGATTAGCAAAAGAGCATGTACTGTAAAGTATATAAATAAAAGACCACTCATCCTCTACAAGAAGTAAATTTAGCTCATTTATAATATACATTGGAAAGGAAACCTAAACTTTATGCATTGATCTAGACTAGTTGATATGTAGGCCTACATTTTTATCTTTTTGTCTCCTGCATATCTGGTATAGGTACTGAACCACTACACAAATTTTGCTCCCTATTTGCACGAGGACAGACTCATCATTTTTTAATTCTGTTGCCTTTTTTTAAATTGCATATCTCAAATATAATATATCTCAAATATAATATAATCATATATATATATATATATGTTAGAATATATGTTAAATAAGTATCATACATGTATTATTTGGAATATTTATGATCAACGTATGACAGCTTTATTTGTTTAAATTTTTCATCTTATTTCATTTCATTGACAATTGACGCTTGGCAACTCTATGTGTAGAAGGGTTTCTGTTGCTGAATAAAGTAACAAAATGTCTGTGCCATAAAAGTGTTAATTTCATTGAATTGATATTAAGTGAAGTATTGCACATGTACGAAACGAGTAAAAAAAGCTAATTTGCCCGATTATTTTTCTTTCTCTGTGACATTCGAAGTTTTCAAGGTATGCTGCAGACAGCACATGCTAGAGATATTTTTCTGTGAGTATAAAACTACAAGTAGGTAAGAGAAAGAAAACGTGTCCATAAGCTGTTGCATAGTATCTGCAGTGATAGCGACTTTCATTCTGCTGTGTCGACGCACGCCGTTTTTGTTTTTAAAAAATTCAGAAAAAGTGCATTATAGAATTATCCCTTGGTAATTATTTCAAATTGATTGCCATTTACTTAACTCCATGTATGATAGCGGACCGGCATCTGAATATAACGCAAGATTTAAAGTAATTGGCTCAAACAAAGTCTAGAATGGCGCAAATTTCCTGTTCACAGTACGTAAGTGTATCATGTTTCATTAAAATGGCTATTTTCGTGAAAATAAACCCTTTTATTTACAATATTTTGTCGTTTATTCCATCACAATCATGAAGATCTCATTTATTTTACCTCACTCGCATAAAGCCTTTAAGCCGCGCAGAATTAAAGTGTAGTGTAACAACTCAAGAAGTTCGCAGGGCTGACCCGAATTGCAGGTTGGTGCCGACTGATATTCATTAGGCCTACCAGTAGATATTACTGACTTACATTCCACTTCAAAGAGGACCCGGGCCAAAGAGGATCCGGATATTTGGCAAATATTAAACCTGTGGTATGGTACGATGAAGACAGGACATTGAGAGACGCACTAATTACCAGAGATTGATAAGCATTGAGAAATTACGTAATCGACCGACTGTTCTGCAGCCGATAGACAGATTATTAGTGATGGTGTAGTTTAATAGCTATCAGTTGTTTAAGACCTTTTACGTTGTTGCCCGTATCATCTGTAGGTGACTTTCAAGTACATCAAGGCCTCTGTAAGCATCTCCTTGCGATCAGCGACAGACGTTTGAACCGTGAGTAGAAAACGTGAAGTGAATGATGACAGCGTGTATTGTTAATATTGTTTTAATATTAAAATCTTTTGCTCAACATGTCAACCACAGGGTAGTGAATTTGACAAACGCACTTTATGTGACCTTTTCATAAATATTTGGAAACCAAATTAACAGCGGAGATTACTTATATATAATTGTTTATCTTTTTGAAATTTCTTTTCATCTATAAAAAATAGCTTACTCACACGCATTTCGCATCACTTTTGGTGTCCATATTTGTCACCGTCTCTTTTTTAACATCTAAAACAAGAACATATGTTTATCTTTGAAGAGACATTTGTTACAACTCTATTTGCACGTTTCGCTTTTTTCATTTATTTATTCATATTTGTATTCATTTATTTAATTTCTACTTTGTTTAAGACAGTAATTAGTCGCAAATCTGATTGGATTCTCGCTAGAAAAATATATTTCCCGGCCAAGAATTTGTAAAATTGAGATTCTATGAAAAAAACGTACGGAACCCTCCGAAGTCACGTCCATGGTTGTCTTTTTTCTTTATCCATTTGGTCCTTTAATAGAGAACATTTGACCATTTTATCTTAATTCACGACGTGGCTCTTTATTTGTTAAGTTAATTGTTATCATATTTCACAGGATTAGTTTATGTGTCTAGATAAATTGATTCTTACTAAAATGTAAGGACAAGGGCTTTCATTATGGCGTGGCCTAGTTTTCTGACAATTACCTGTACGTTCCACCTTAACCTACTGCAGGTATATGCCAAGGTGACCCAGCACGCTGTCAAACAAAAAATTAATGATAGAAAAGATGTATCTTCTACTGCTCTGCGTCGCACTGGCAGTGACTGTAACACTCGTGCTACTACAGATAATTAAAAAGAAGGTAAGGGATGTTTTTGAAGCTGCACATATATTCAAGGCCGTTCATTTATATTCCATGGCTGTAACAATTGTCACGTAGTCAGTAAATATAGACAGGAATATATATGTGTGGCATAATGCTTCCAAGTCATGTCATGATATAGCAACTATAAAGCAAGTAAAAGAATCATGGATTTGATGATTATAAGCAATAGTACTAAATTCAAAGATATTTATGAAAGCAAAATAATAGAATAATATGAAAATAACATAAACACTGACACTTTAGGTTATCTATATAGCATAAAATCATATCGTATTCATGTAAAATACTAGGAGACTTTTCTTTGCATTCCATGGAATACAGATATTTGGTAGTGGATTTTTAATACACTACATGTACATGTAGGTTGTTGAGTCTGTATATCTTGATGCTGGTATAAATGCATATCGCACGGTGTACACTTTCTGGTGCATACTTTTATGTCCCGATTTATTTTCCCAATGCTAACATTATGTTATCGTTTTATTAACATATATTAAGGTCATATTGATTCAACCAATTTATTTTTGTTACACTGATTGTATGTTTATCATGTATATTCTGAGCTCGTAAAAATACTGTGTACTTTCTGCTCACGTTGGAATAAATTATCTATCTGCCTATCTATCTATCTATAATGTTAACATTGCAGGTCGTGAGCGGTGAACGTGCTGGCATCTTTCCAACTCCGCAAACATAGAAATGTATTTAGCAGCTAGTGGCTGCCATTTTTCGAAGTCCGCAACAATAATCAGTGGTTATATTCCCCGATATTATCATAAAGACACTATGACTGGGTTCCCATACTTAGATCGATCCATCTGGATCGACCTAACTCCCTGGGAATTAACGCTAAATTGCTATCAGCTCAAGAGGCTTAAATGTCTGTCATGGCTACCGAATCAGCTAGGGGGTAAAGATAATTACCCCTAACAGCATTACTAGGGGTGACAGACATTTAAGCCGGTTACGTTGATAGCAATATAGTGAGACTCCCCAGGGAGATAGATCGATCCAAGTATATGTGGGCATGGTCCCTACGAGTAGTTTGACACTAGCTTGCTTTATTATTAACAACAAAAAGTTGATCACAAGGGGTGTAGAAATTTCATCTGACACGAAGCCTTACATGTGTTTATTTGCAGATCTTAGGCCGCAGCAACTCCGGCAACGATATCCCAGGACTAAATGCCAAGGATATCAAGCAAGTACATGTTCCAGGGGGGCCCAGTTTCATCAACACTGGATAGCGCCATCCTATGGATACCACTATATCCACAGAATATCATTGTTATAACACTGTTATCCTGAAGACAGCATGAATTTTCAACCACTGGAAAACAATATCAGAGTCAAAGAAGTGTGCAGTGTTTGTGATACATTGCTTTATTCGGTACATTTGATAACAATTTTATGCAGTAGTAGTGTTATCCCTAGGACAGTACTATCCGGTGTTGAAGAAACTGCATGGGCCCAGATCACTTCCCTTACGAAAGAGACCTATTGCATTCCCACACGATTTTAGGAATCCTGTAGGATTGTACAACAAATACTTCCTATTGGAAACATTATCTATAGTCTATAAGGATCCAATAACAGGCCTCATGAACGATAATTGCCGTTTGTTGCTTCACGCTGCCTGTTTGTGAATGCGTACCCCGAATCAACATACTTAACCTCGTATCAAATCAAATGCAATAATAATTGTTGCGAGCCCACTTAAGTACTATATTACTGCTTATTTGTTGATTAAAGTTAAAGCAACGTCTGATACCCGCTTCAACAAAGATAGTAATTTTTTCCAAATTAAACGCTTCTGGATATATTATATGTGGCTGTAGATTCGACTACCAATCACAGTAGATTAAACAAGTTGTCGTTTGTATAAAGCTTTGGTATTTTCTTTTCAGACATGGGAACCTAGAACTGGTCAAAAAACATGGCAGTCTTCATGAGTTCCTGCTGTGGCTACATCAGCAGTATGGACCCATAGCAAAGTTCTGGTTTGGAGAACAAATGGTAGTCAGCATCACCTCTCCTGAACTGTTCAAAGAGACTTCGAGTATGTTCGATAGGCCCCGTGAGTAAATGCTATTCTGCTTTTTTAGACTTTGTAAATATACTGATTATTTCAATGGTTTCATTTCGTTGTTTTATTTCGTGAATTATAACGCTTGATTTAAGCGATTCACACATTAAATACACCACGCACGCGCAATAAATCCTTGGACTTATTGATTCATAACCTTTGGCTTTTAGCGGTTCTGTTTGAGCTCTTCGTGCCCCTTATAACCAGAAAATCTGTTCAGGTAACAAACAAGGAAGAGGGGAAATGGAAAAGGAAAACATACGACCCCTGCTACAGTCACAGATACGTAATGGAGTACATACCCGTATTCCAAAGGGTAATTATTATTTTTCAATTTTTTGAAGAGTCATTAAGTTAAGTGATATTCTGAAAAATAAAATTAAATATATAGTTTTGCTTAAGTTACATTTTTTCAATAATCCAGCAAACGGCGATATACATTCATTCAATACAAATGTCAAGTTATTATTATTATTATTATTATTATTATTATTATTATCTTTCTAAAGGAAATAAATAGAAGGGAATTTTAATATTGTCAAAAGAAAAGAGATGTATACCCAATAGTGAATAAAAAAAAACAAAAAAAAAACAAATTGGATCTTAAATTTATATCCCAAGAGCTTGTAAAGCATTTTCTTATAACCTTTACCCCTGGATACCTTCACCCTTTAATATCCTCAATTTGTTTTTATCGTCAAAGCTAGCCGAGGAAATGGTTGAGAAATGGTCACGTTTGCCACGTGGTCAACACGTTCCCTGTCGCCAGGAGGTGTTTCTGCTCTCAATAAAAGCTATAACCCAGTATTCGTTTGGAGATTACATTCTAGACGAAGACCAGGTCGTCAAGTTCTGGAAAGCATATGATACAGTAAGTGTTCGATTTGGCTCCTTTATCTTTGTACGGTAACCTGCATGCGCTTGTTTGTGTGCCTGACGGTTCGAACAATATAAGCAACACGATTGCATATGGCTGTTGGTATAACTGCTGAAAAATTAACAAACCAATGCTAGACTTTGTACGATTTCTTAGATGTCACCAACCGTTTTGGGAGTTTAAGCACATATAGTTTTTGAATATCAACATGATAAAAATTTCATATATGTTTTAGTGCTGGTTCGATTTTGATAAAAGACAACGCGGAGATGAACCAAATCCTGGGAGTGAGCGTGAGAAAAAGTTCAACGATGGTAAAATATGTTATCAACATGCACTGGCACTTTTCTCATACTCAATATTTTTTTATTAATTTATTGTGTATTAATTGTGATTGATATATTTACTTCTTAGATTTATTACCAAAGCCATTGAGAAAAAGTTTGTAGTCACTCAGGCTTTAGGTCAGATTAAGTTATTCTTACCTTTTTCCGAACACTCATCAGAAATGTCCTGAAATACCCTCCTACCCTACATATTTGGAATCTAATCTAAAATAAGTTTTGAGCTTTGTGTAGATTTGAGGCCTAAAGTACCACCGGGGCAAGATTAATTTTAGACATACACCATAAAATTTCTAAATTCAGTAGTTAGGAGTACTTTTGAAGATTGCCCTCTTTCTGCTCATTAGGAAGCTTGTTTTTGTTTTCTTCACAGCGAAAAAATACATGTACGACATTTTGGCGGCGGTCATCGAAGTCAGGCGTAAACATAATACGAGTATCGAGAATCGACAAATGCTGGTTGACGTCATGATTGAAAACGGTATTCCGGATGACGTCATGCAGTGTGACGCTATGACGTTTATTATTGGTGGATTCCATACTATTGGGAATTGTGCGTATCCATTATCTTTTCGACTGCATGAAATTCTAAATGATTGGTTAATTTCGTTTAATCATTAGGTTGAAGACTTACATTGACATGCTTACTGCGATATACATATCAGTTCCTTTTTTTCAAAACAAAGGCAAATTCCAAGCCCATAGGTTTCTCTCTTATTGAGAGAGCAAAGGTGCTTGTAAATTATTTTGGTCATATATTGATGCGTGTTTGGGCAAAGATTCAGTTTCGTAACAGAATAATGGTGTATGAAGAAGTCGACCCCTCGTTATCCTGGAATTATTTTGATAATTTGGCAACATTATGTATATAATTGAAATCTATTCAATTTAAGGGCTGGTTTGGGCTCTCCACTTCGTCTCTATGTACCCTGAAATTCAAAATAAAATGTACCAAGAAGTAAAAGACAAGTTAAATGACACGGGCAAAGTGATTCCAGATGACGTTGCTCAGCTGGTGTAAGTATGATGACTGGTCCATCCCTATTCTCTGTCCTGTTTTTGGTTTATTTGTCCTCTGGGCGACAAGACTAAGAGAATGCAGGGATAATCCTATCGTGCCTCAAACTTACATGTATAAAAATAAATGAAACAATTGCGAAAAATCACTCTTTTACATCCTGAACGATCAGATATTTCTATCGACATTAGCATTACTTTATATATATATATATATATATATATATATATATATATATATATATATTAATTGAATGTTATTGGTTCTTCTTGTAGCTACATTCGTCAGGTAATGGAAGAAACGCTGCGCATGGCAGTGCTTGCGCCAATCGCAGCCCGTTATGACGAAGAAAAAGACGTCACACTGGGAGGTTACGTCATACCGCCTGGGGTAAGTAGAATGACGTCCTATTTCAGAGATATTCCATTCTGATGCCATGCATTGAATATTTTTTCAAAGAAGGTTTCTTGTTTTTTTTTTCGTATTTCTCTCTCCGAAAAAAGAAAACAAGGGCCCAAGTCGTATTTAAATTTTATAATCTCTTGAGTGTCACTTTGACATCAGTTTTAATTTAACTTAATTACAAAATAACAAAAATACATAGCTGATTCTTTGTTGCACCAACTCGGTATTGCTAAACGTGAAAGTATATCCACCGTTAGTCATTTTATACTTATTTGTGTAGAATGGAGTGGACAACTCAGTTTATCAAAACTGATTAACAACAATGAAAAAAGTGCAACATGCTCATAAATGGGGATTACTAGCTGCCGCTCTTGTTTGCATAGGCAAACAGTATAACTCAGTATGCTTTTTAAGATGAATGTGTTTTCCAGACCCCCATTATCCAGGCTTTGGGCGTTGGATACAGTGACCCATCAATCTGGCCAAACCCCGAAAAGTGAGTGCAATTATGGCATGTGTTCATTTTTAACTAAGGAGCAGACATTGTTAAGTCCACGGCAGAATAATAAAAATAATAATAATAATAATAAATAATGGTTAATTTTTTTTAAATTTAACACCAATTTTTAGGTTTGACCCAGATCGCTTCAGCCCAGAGAAAGTGGCTGAACGTCACCCCTATTCCTTTCAACCGTTTGGTTTTGCCGGCAATCGGAAGTGTCCTGCATACCGTTTTGCTTACGCTGAAGTAACCACTGTGCTGGCCAACATTCTGCTGAAATTCCAGGTGTGTTTGCTGAAGGCTTAATAATAGTAACAAATAAATGTAATAGAAGCAAAAAGAAACTTAAAAACACGGTACGTACAAGTTCAATATGGCTGTGCAAAACGAAACCGGGGTCAGGTTTCTACTAGTAGGTATCGATCATGGTATATACCGTACATTGTATAATCACATAATTCGCAAAATTTTAATATATTCCTTCATACAAATGTCAGAATCCTTCCGAGTGGTCATTCAATATTTTTCGACAGTTTTGTCTCTTTTGCAGGTTCACCATGTTAATGGTTTGGGGGTAAAGGCCATGTATGGTCTAGTAACTACCCCCGAAGACGAAGTCTGGCTAACGCTTACTTCGAGATGCGATGAGAATAAAGAAGAGTAGATTATTTTATCTGTGAATTGAAAATCAAAACTTTGCTTTGACACGCACTTAGACCAAAAACAATCGAACTGGGAATTTATCGTTATTCTTTATTTAATTAGAATTAAGTAAGGGTGGCAAATGTGTGTAGAAAAAAAAGCATGGGCGATGGTACTACTAGAAAACAAGGTTTTATTCGACTTTCTCTTTACAAGTATATCTGACGAAATGGTAAAGTTGAACTAAATTGGTAATGACGGCTTAGATAATTAATTAAGGCTTAAGCTTTTATATGGCGGTCGTTTTCTTACAGTTGTTGTAGAGGCATTTACAGGAAATTTTACAGTGTCTTTTCAAAAAAACAAATTGATAGCCAAGCACTCAATTTTCCAATCAGCTGGCAATTAGCCAAGCCCAACATTATCTATCAAATCGATGAATCCGTGTATCAAGCAGCCGTTAAGCCCATGCAACCAGAATTCGACTGGTGTTCCACCTTGCTACACAGAATGAACTCTTGCTCTTGCTGGAATATGTACAGGGTAGTTCAAAATTGGCATTGTTTTTTATTATTATTAAACTGTCTATGCTTCAGGCTCATGGGGAATAGTTGCTTAAAGTCAAGAGCATGTTTGTTTGCAAATTTTATCTTACAAGCATTTGAGTTGTGCATAATTAACGAAGTGCAGAATATACAGGTATACTTGTACATACCATACAGGGGCCGGTTTCACAAAGCAGTAGTTAGTTAGCGATTGGTAGTTAGCCTCTCGCTAGTTAGAGTGCCGTTTCACGAAGCAGTCGCTAGTTCTCTCGCTCGTTATTGTCTCGTTGTTACCATGGATATTTAACGACTGGTCAGACCAGTCGCTAACTCTAGAGTTTCATCGTACGCATGCGTAATGAGTGAAATAAAAAGGTTGCTTAGTTACCGTTGTCTGTCGTTTGTCTTTGTATCCAATATGGCGGCTACATGTACCTTTCTTGCTATCCGTATCGCCAGACGGCAACGTAGACTACGACGTTTTCATGAAAGGCAGAATCTATTATAATATACATACGATGATGCAATTTACGAGAGGTTGCGCCTAGCTGTGACAAAAAGAGCGGCAAAAAGGTGGTGGAGATCCTTTACGACGACCTCAAAGCAGACGTTCTTATGCATTTCCAGCCACCAAAAATTGGAGAGTTAGTGCTTTCGTGACACTTTTACGCAAGAGTTCCACTTCCGGCAGACGGTTTCGAGACTATGGTGAGTAGCGAGAGAACTAACGACCGAACTTTACGACTGAACTTAACGATGAGTTAACTACTGCTTCGTGAAACACCCCTCGAAAATCGCTAAGTTTGCTTGTTAGCGAGGTAGTTCAGTAGTTAGTTGTTCTAACCAAGGAGTTATAACTCCTTGTTCTAACTAACTACTGCTTTGTGAAACCGGCCCCAGGATCCTACACCAGCAGGATGGACCCATAACAAAGTTCAGGTTCAGGAGAACAAATGAAACTTGTAGTCAGCATCGATCGCCTGTCCTCAACTGTTCAAAGAAAATTTCCGTTTGTTCGATAGTCCCCGCCTGGAAACTTTTTGAAGTCCGTATTGTGTTTACCCGTGGCTTCATGTTTACTTTGGAGAATAAATGACTTTATAAAGCAAGGATCATGCATTATATCTGTGTTGTGTTGTATTTTATTTCCCCCGCACAGGTCCTGCAACGTTAATAAATTCTGGTTCAGAAGAGAATTAAGTGTTTACGTGTTCAAGTTCGGAGTTCAAGTTTAAGTTTGGTGAATTAATATATGGCGCTATAAAGGAAAAATCATGCATTATATCTGGTTTGTTGTATTTTATTACCCCTGCCCAGGTCTTGCGACGTTAATAAATTCAGGTTCAGAAGAAAGTTAGTTGTTCACGCATAACAACCATTCTGTACAGGTGTCTTAGCGGAGGTCTCCGCTCTATGAATGCTTTTTTAGTTTCTTTTTGATATATTGGCTTTCTTTTATTTTATTTTATTTGCTCTTGGGGAATGTCTACTCCTTTTGGCGCAGGGTAAATATATATATTATGATAGTTAGTCATGGCTGTTTTTATTGAGTTTATTTTTCCTCTAAAAAGCCCGCATAGATAATGATTGATTCCTTAACAAAGGCGCTCGCCTTTTAGTCATGTGGCCCAACATAAAACAACCGTGATGTCGGATGCGGGTCTGTGGTAGTTTATTATTCGTTACCTACATATTCACACAGCAGTAAAGATAACTAGACCGTTGCTTGCAAAAGCCCAGATCACATTTCTCCGTGACACCCAAAATCAGATGCAGACAGCCTTAGCTGCAGACACTTAATTTAACTGTAAGTATTATCCTTAACAATACAATTAGATAAGAGAAAACCCTATGTACCTATGCTACGTTGCCCAAAACGTACAGTCATAGCGGCGTGCAATCTGCCGACTTTATACATATAGATAGATAGATAGCTAGATATAGAGAGAGGGGCGGGTCCAGGATTATTTGAACGGGATCCGAGGATGCGAAGACACACCCTTCTCGGGTTGGCTTGGGGTTCGGTGCCCACTTAAGGGCCCCGAAAAATTTTAGTATTTTAGAGGGCGAACGATACCATTTGGTACGGTTTACTACTATAAATCAGCTTGTCAAAGTTCTGATTTCAAGAGGGGAATATTACTGTGATTTTTTTTTTCAGAAACCCCTGACACCCCCCCTCTAAATCCGCTACTGTATAGATATTAAACCGCTAAAACCCTAGACACCTAATAGCTTAACACATACACCCTACTTATATGCATGCATTTAATTGTTAAACGTGTCATATTGCTAAACACATACAGGCTAAACGCGTGTAACTTAGGAGCTAAACGTGCTCAGCAACTAAACGCGTTGAAAAAAAGAGACAAAACAGGCCCTTAGAAATGTGTTTAGGAGCTAAACACTGTTTTTACATTGTAATGTCCTATTTCGAGCCCAAACTTGAATTAAAATTATATAACTTAAGGACATTCATTCCATATGTATGAAAAGGTGCATTAAAACCTGGTAGCGGGTAAACGAGTCTCGTTTCTGTGTAAGCAAGGAGATGAAAAACATCGAAAATTGCCTTACGTACCTGTAATGACTGAAGTGTGAAATTGTGTTCTTTTATTACACTTCCGTAATCTGTTGAATACTAATGCGTAAATGATTATACCGATCTACCACCGATGGCATTAGTAATAATCCCTTACGTTATAACCGGTTATCCTACCATAGATGGCATTAGTAATAATCCCTTACGTTATAACCGGTTATCCTACCATACCAACTACCGGTAGGATGAAAAAGCTCCTTACATGTATTGTTTATAAAATCCAAAATCTAGCTCTTCTGTTAATTTTCAATTACCAGAAAAAAGATTCAACTGCATATTGAAACCCGAATTAACAAGAACATACTTATATCTCATTGTAACACATCTTGTTTCCTCACTCGGGCTTAAACAAGAAACAACTCGAAAAACATAACCTCCTTGGGGGAGGTAAAAAAACTCAAAGAGCACAGATCTCCACCAAGATATCTCAATTCTCGTTATTAATATTTGTTTTGATGAACGTAATTTATTAGTTAACTAGTCAATTAATAAATGTTAAAAATAATTATAAATGTATGAACTGTGATGTACAGGATAAATGTCAAGGATAATTGCGGTAATTAAATAATAATAATAAATCCGGGACTAAAATACAAATGTGTTCAATAGACCTTACAATGCAACTTGAATAAATAATGAAAGGGGTACTGTAGTAAAAGATAAAGTGTGGAACTCTTGTTATGGAGATCGTAGAATTGGTTTTTGGTTATTATTAAGATCTTCTGTAATGACAAATGTAATACAACATCATAAGAAAACCGCCGTTGATTGCCTATTTATTAGATAAATTGGTATTCTTCTGTAGATTTTAGAGGCTAAAAAACGCCAGAGATCGTCTTGTGAGCTGGTTCTCATTTCGAAGCCTGACATGTTCTTCCTCTGCTGGTCCAGATAAATTGGGCTGTTTGGCAAAGTGGAATGATGTGCTTGTAAGCCGATACCTTGTGTTTGGGTAGTGTGGCACTGTCTTCTGTTTATATTGTTGTTTTTGACTGTCGACATTTTCTGGTTATTAGATGCACCGTATATACGTAGCGGTCGGTATACATGTAGGAGGCAAGATACTGGTGCACATACACTATTGTATATAAAAGAATATAAATAGTATTTAATGAGCATGAGATGTGGAAGTACTGCCTGCGCCATTCTAAATGCAATTAATTCACCTAGCTGTTAAGAAAAGCGTGACGATCCAGTTATGTAATCCTTATTTAAAAGCGGGCGTCTCATAGGTGACATGAATAGTATTTTAATGGGCAGCTAATACTCTTTATTGGGCCAAATAGTTATACACTTGCTTCAAGAAAGTGTTAGACATCACTCAAACCAGATAGCATTAGCGACTGCGTACATGCTATATGTGCGTTTTTCTCGTTCAGCCTCTGTGAGTAAACCAAAAGACAAACAGATAAAGAAAAGGAAGAATAAGTAAGTAGAAATCGCCATTAATTTTGGACACTCAAAACCACTTTCAAAACTTCTTTCATTGCTAGTGGTATAATATTTTTATGTTAATGTTGAATATATGTCATTATTTACGGAAGCTGCATTAACTATGCTACGCAATGTACATGTATTTATTATTATGACTATCGATCATGATGACACGGAAGTAATTCAACACAAGGTCAAAAGTGAGTCAAGGTACGCACTGTGCATTTAGTCCCCCACCTGATACGAATAAAAGCGTTTAGAAAAGCTCTTTCCTTCAATATGTGATGTGGCCAAACAATTTTCACGGTGCATGAAGATAAACAGTTAAAGAATATCCACAATAAAATTCGGCAACCGAGAGAAGCGCCAACATATAGATAATTGCGATAGTATAAATGTCAAAATATCAAAATGAATAGCCCCGCCGTTCGAGCCTTTTAACCAATCAAAGCAACGGAAAGGGGGTCAAGTCACCTTCCCACCAGGCCATGCCATGTAAACAAAGCAGCATGGTCGGCTGTAGTGAAGAGTCTGAGGAGGGAGACGCGAAATCTTCGCCAAATTCTCATCTTTCGTGTTGCATGCACATACCTGTAGAAGAAGGTAGCTAATTAAGAGACTCTAGATACCATCACACGTTTTCGCTGGGAAACTTTTAGAGTCGCAGCGAAACAATGGCTGAAATTTGGCAGCAGAGAAGCCGCTGCTGTTCAGTGGATCCGTACGGATTTAGATAGAGCCTTAGAGGATTCGACGATTTGGAAGCCAAACCACGATGTCACTACTCTTGCTACAGAAAGCTAACTAACAAGAAGGGGTTATCTCAGGCGGCAAAGAAGTATGAGAAAGCTGAGAAACAAGGCAGTCTTGCTGAAGAAGGTATGTCAACATATTGTAATTTGTTTTTAAGTCAGCCCCGATCGTGTTATGTTTACATCGTACGTGGCTGATGTTACATAACAATATGTGACTGATAAAAGTGATATGAAAGAAAGAAAAAAAGAAAATGATGAAAACAAGTTTATTATTGTTATTATTATTTTATTTGTAAATACTTAGAGGTTTTAAGATTTGAAACAACTCATTCTCTGTTGAATAAGATAGTAAAAGACCCCATTTCCAGAGATTAGATCGATCTACTTTAGGGGTTCACGCTAAACAGCTGTCAGTGGGGTGGACACGAAAGTTAATTACCCCCTTACAGCTTGTAGTAGGCGGGACGGACATTTAAGCCAGGTTATCTGACAGTAATCTAGTGAGACTCCCCACGGGGGCAGATCAATCTAAAAGCTCTGGGAATACAGTCTAAGCTAGCTGGATGTTCTTGCCATGATTAACATCTCATTATTAGTTCATCCATATTAGCATTGCATTTACACAAAATAATGTAAGGCTTCACACAACAAGATATACAAACAAATATTATGGTGGGATTTTATGAGACAGAGGCTTAAGTATCATGGTAGAATATTTTATGTTATTTGTGGAGTGGTCCTCCCCCCCAATACATTGCTGCACATGTGCAACCATTAGTGAATATAAATGTGTATAGGCTAAGCCCAACTTCAATGAGAATGTATTTTAGGGATTATTTATTGTATCTTGTGAGCCAGAAAAAGTAGGATAGCTTTTCACAGAACAAGCTGCAATGTGATTAATTTAATTAGGACTGTTAGGAATAATCCTTGTAACTTTCCCTTATGAATAGAATCAGTAAAGGTATACATAAATAGTATCAATAAAGAATTACGTTGACAAACAGTATCAATAAAGGAATAATGATAATGAGTAGGGTGACTGGTAGATGTAGTTCAGTTAAAGAGAAGAGGCACTTTTATTCAAGGCATCTTATATTAATCTGGGCAGCAGAATTCTAGTGGGCTCCCTATTAATTATTAGATCTTTAAGCTTGATTAATTTGTCTTTGTTGCAACAAATATTAAACAGTGGGTCTCATTTGCCTGTAGTTTGTTACAGCTTAGTTCCTCATAAAAGGAACATGCTGAGCCACTAATACATTGAATCCTATACCTACCCTATGCCCTTTGAATCATGAGGATATATGTAATTATAGTTGTCAATATCACTTGGTGTCAATCATTTGATAAACTCACATGCTACTGTCTTATCTTATTTCATTATTATTTATTTATTTTATAGTTAAATCATAGTGATTGTATATACAATTGCACTTGCAACAATCAAGGATTTGCGGTCTGCTCTGTATTTGCTAAATCATTTGTGTAACCAGGTATCCAGATGTATTTTATTTGAAATATGTATTCTCTGTTGTCTTTTTATTTGTACAGGGCAAATGTTTTTATAACTGAATTTTGAGCACATTACTATTTTTTACATATCTTTGTTACACCCACTTGGATATTTATCCAACTTAATTTAAGGTTGTTTCTGTAGTAGTCAGTATCTGCACATTATAATTCACTAATATGTATGGTATGAAAAGTAAAATGTTATTTTGCTTCTTTTACAGAACCATCAACCAGTTGTACTCTTCCCAAAATACAAGGTCCATCTCCCAAGAAATTGAGATCAGTCTCAGGGTTTGGTATATCAAAGTCACCAGTACTGCCAGCTATCTGCATTATTTGTAAAAAAAAAAAAAAAGTTGTGGTCGTCTAATTTTTGCAAGTGTTTTGATATTTAATGGGGACACACTCATTTTGATGTAATTTTAACATTCATAATATTTTTTTATTGTTTTGTATGTCCTTAATTTGTTTGAGATTGAGCTATTTAATTCCTGCCAGAATAGTTTTTCGATTTTTATGTTCAATATTTCTACAAGGTTTTCTATTTGATATAATTTCTTTGGTGGGTTGTTATCTTCGGATAGATTCTGTCCTTGTGTTTCCCTTTGTATCTTGCTCAAGATTGTGCACCTGATTTACAGTTCTATTATCTACTGGTAGTTGTTCCAGTCTAAGACTAATCTTTAGACAGGTTTAGTTATAGTTGAAATAATAGGGTAACTGCCGAGCTCAGCTCTAAAAATGGTATTGCTAGCCTGCTTTCTTAGACCTACAATCCATTTGCAAAACTTTAAGTGTACCTGTTCAAATGGCATTTTATTAATCTTTTTCAGATATGCACAGGAAATGTATAAAGTTATAATTTCACAGTTGAAATAATTAAGTTGGAAAAAATATATTATATATATCATAAAAGCCTTGTTAAATGTGAGCTATTATTTCTTTTAATATGCTGTTGTTACTAGACAATGCTGCAATTAATTGCAATAATCAAACTTCTTTAAAAATTGTACCTTTGCAATTTTAAGATAAACTTGAACATAAAAACCTCAATTATTCTACCTAATGAAGCACTTAGATATTTTTGAAATAATTTTTTGAGCACTTGCCAGCTTCATAAACAGACAGCCCTCATGATACCTAGTTTGTAACTCTACACATGGATTTATACTATTTATCAGTGTAAAATATTGAGTCAAATAATTTTCAGTGATTATATGCGCTTTAATTCAATGTAACATTACTGAACATACATGTAAGTGATTATATGATCACTATATAGGGTAATAGTGTGACCTGTGTGCGATTGTAGTAGAAGTGGTACAGTGCAGTCTACGGGCTATATACTACATACCTTCTTGCCGTGAATTCACGTCAACATTTAGCCAATTATATAAATACACGTATTCTCCAACTATTTAAATCTTTCTTTCAATATTGACATCGATTTTAAAATCCTAGGACGTATTTTTTTTTATTTAAACAACGCATGGGAATCATCTATTAAATGTGCAAGCTTCGCACGAAAATTCATTGTTTACATCGTTCAGATGTAGGTCAAGTTATCACGTGACCCCTTTCCGTTGCTTTGATTGGTTTAAAGGGTAGAACGGCAGCACTTGGAACTACTCGGATTTCTCCGCACTCGACAGTCGAGGATTGCCGATTGGAACGGCAGGGCTATTCATTTTGATGTTTCAGCATAAATACTATCGCAATTATCTATATGTTGGCGCATCCTACGGTTGCCGAATTTATTGTGGGTATTTTTTAACTGTTTATCTTACATGCACCGTGAAAATTGTCTGGCCACTGAAGCTTTTCACACAATGAAACGATAGACCAGTGTAGGCAAGGGACTATATACTTCTATATATTAAAATGTGTGTAATTCAAATAACTTATGCTCTCACACAACTGTAACAAATCCTCTCCGTCAACTTGGGGAACCTGTGCGTGTATTATTATTTTGTTTGCCAACAGCCGTGGGGAATTCCCTCTTCATCCACCGAACTTTATGATTGGACAGGCTTTTTTAAGGTGATACGTGAGTATATTGTCTGTTACATAAAGGCAATTTGGGAAGTTTTGAAAAGGAAGATGATTGCCTTTTGAGGCTTGCCATGTGAGGTTTAAAAATGTCAAGTTTGATCTGTGGCAACATTTTCTTTGAAATAAACACAGAAGTTAAAATTGAGGAAGTTATAAACGGAAGTAAAAATTACTGACTTCAAAAGAAATTAAAATTTATTTGGGTATTGTAAGAAAATATCACATCATTTCAAAACAGTCCACAGTGCGTCCTCTAGGGGCAGGCCAGGAGGCACCTCTGCTGAGCAAAGAGCGCAGGGTTTGCGGGGAGCTGAGGAGCGCGAGCATCTGGCTCAGCGCAAGTGGCGCGCGCCAATTGCTTACCGTGTGCGGGGTGCTTTACAAGTTCAGTTGCAAACATACGTGATGTTAATGAGTAGATTTTTCGTATCAGTAATACGCTTTGCATATCATATCTGACATTTTATCTATCTTTATTTTCAAATTTCAAAAGTTTCATATACGTAGTAGTAAAATGAAAATAAAATATATATTAGATCAAACGATATTAACTATTTTGAACATATTTTTAAATATTAATTTTTTTCAATCGTATATCTATGACGATTCTAGGACAATCCCCCCGCCCCCAGGAAAGTCCCCCCCCCCCCAAGAAATATATATTCGTATACAAATATAAAGTACTGTAAAAACTATAAAGTTTAAAACATTCCATCCCTTTTATTAATATTTTAATGTGATAATGCGCATGCGTCTTCATCATGAAACATTATTTTATAAGAAATTCCTTTTCACTTTATATTTTTATATATTTGTATATAAATATATATTATTTATATATATTTGTATATAAATATTTATTTTCGGAGGGAATCGTCCGGGGGGAGGGGATTATATAAAAGCACTGTGCTATATGACAAGCTTTCCCTGAAAAAAAAACTTGAAGTCTTCCATCAGATCTCTTTGAGGTTTTCAGTAAACTTCTAGAGGTGTGCTTAGTCATTATCATGTTATCAGTGACAAGGCATCAGCAACAGTGGAAGGGTGACGTATTATACAATTGGACTATACAGGCCTCTGTATGACTAACATCAAATTGCTTATCATGTCACACACAAACGGCACAAACTGTCGGGCGTAGATGTCTTATGCGCTTTTTTTTATTATTTTGATTACGACCTTGAGAATCCATGCGTGTACACATTATTGTTCGCCCACAGCTGTGGGGGATTCCCTCATGTACCCCTGTTCTTTATGATTGGATAGCCTTTGTTGTCATGTACGGTAGAACGGGTTTTGATACTTCGTTGAAGGTCAGGCTTATTTACCTTAGGCCCTAATTAGGTACAATTTACTCCTGAGTAAATTGCAGCATTTTTGTACTCAACACTAATGTTTTGTCCTGTGAAAGCCTGGGCTCCGTATCTCGAAATAGAATCGGTTATGGAATCGAGACACTAACACGCGTGCGCAACATAGCGAACCTTTCGAGATACGGAGCCCTGTACTTGTTAGTTCAATTACTCCCGCTACTCAATTTTTTTTCGCCCAACATATTTCTGCTACATACAAATAAACATGCTTGTTGCTTATAAATAATTATAAAAAACGAAAGAGGAAGAAGAATTTTTCGAGAAATTTTATGTTTTTAAGACAATGCATGGATTGTATTTAACACTTCCTTCTCTCCTCTCCCATCTGGATGCAGGGAACGACAGTGACATGAGGTACCAGGAAGCCCCTACCCCAAAAAAGCAATTCCCAATTCGTCCTGACATCCTTCAAATTTTTCTAACAACCTCGTTCACCAATGCATACATGACAAATTTTCAAGGGCAGAAATATGCTGTGTAGATTTGGCGGCTTTTTTTCTTCTTTTGCTCTAAGCAAGAAGTTATAAAGAGAAGGAGTAGAAACAAGGGGTTTCCTTTCATCCTATCCTCGTAACGGGCTTAATCCTAATAATTACCCAGCTTGTGGTCTTAGGGAGAGCTTTTGCCTAATACATATTCAAAAGACCGTTCACGTTGGTTGCTTCAGCCAATTGGGATAAAGCCTCGCGAAGTCTCTAATAATCTCACAGAGAAAACATGGTGGGATTACAGAAAGGTGTAGAGAGAGATTTCAAGCCTGGACGCAACCATTTTGGGAAATAAAACTCAAATCATGCGAGATACACCTTCATTTGATCTAGAGCCGATCAGTTATACAAAAATTAGTTTCACATCAAGAATGTATGAGAACAATTTCACAAACCCACCTTCAACGCTAAAATTTGCACCTGTAGAAGTCTCACATTTATTTTAAATTCTTTTTGTCGTGTAAAGGCGTGTAAAGGAAATTTACCTTCATCTAGGAATGACACATTCAATTCAGAGCCGTGTACACAAAACAGTAGTACTTGCAATTTCCGTATGCCAGCCTCGTTTCTTTTTTTTTTTTTTTGGCACATTATTGCTTATATACCAGGTAGAGCTTAAACAGGAAAATTGGGGAAATGAAAATAAGTTATTGCACTTAATATGAATCTAAATAAAATTTCATTCATACATATTTTTGTTTATATCTTTGTCTATTACATGAGGCCAACTAATAGTAGACTGATAGTTTAAATTCATTAGAAGAAAAAATCATAGAAATATTTTTATTGATTGATATTGCTTTATTTCAACATTCGAGCAACTTGTATAATATCTAAAACAAAGTTTCAGCAANAACGTGAAAATTGTCTGGCCACTGAAGCTTTTCACACAATGAGACGATAGACCAGTGTAGGCAAGGGACTATATCTACATACATNCACTTGTGGTTCAAGCTAAACTTTTCACTCCATTTTAAGGGACTGCTTTGGACTTCTCATAAACAAAAGTAGACAACAATTTTGTTTTAAAAGTCAAGGTCAAATCCGGGGCTTAAAATTCTTTGTGTGAAATCAGCCCCAGAAGCTCTGAGTAAGCAAGATACACGTGCACACAAACACACGCACACACACACACACACACACAAGCACACCTTTACCCACCTGACATATTTGAACCATTCATGATTCCTGTGACACTACTAAACAGTACAGCAAACACAATGGCAAAGTTCTGAATCACCTTAGGGTTGGTGTAGTCAGCAGTGTACTTGCCTGAAAATGAAGAAGACCAATCCTTCAGCAAAAAATAAATAAAATAAAAAAATAAAAATAAATAAATAAATAAATAAATAAATAAATAAATAAATAAATAAAAATTAAAAAATTAAAAAAAAAGTTATATAAGAAGCAAAACTTCTTGGTCTGCTAACTTAAGAATAGCACCCTGCAACACTGAAAACAACAACAATATTGAAGTTGGACAAGTAAAATTTTGGTAAATTTCTTGTGTTACTGATAACTGTTTTATCTCCTTGAGTCTAGAAGATGTTTTGGGTTGGTACCAACACTGTATTCTGACTGTAATAAGTACCCTGTTGACTCAAAGAGACAAGTAGGCTAAAACATTTAAGCACAGAGGGAGATAGAGAGTGGCCATGGTCACAAACAGTTGATCTGCAGACTATCGACTCCATGGATCAAATATGGTGCGACCCACTTGCAGAAAGCTTGTCAAGATTAAATTGCTCTGCCTCTGCTGAGACGGCGAGCATGGGAGGCAGGAATCCATTGTCAAGTGTATGCCATATTTGATCCACGTACTGGTTAGTCTGCAGATCAACTTGTTATGAATGAGGCCAGTGTCTTAATTGAAGGCATGGGCTGAGTGTATCAAGTGTCATTCACATAGAAAAAAAATCAGTCCATTTGTACTGACCAGTATAAGATGTTGATGTTAACATTACCTGTGGATATTGTGGAACTCACCAAATAAATTCTCCATGAAAGTGTGAATACTGTATCCAGTATAATTGTAAAAGACGGTGGTCACATTTTCAGTGACATTGTTTACATCAGGATAAACCAGCGTATTGGTCCGTGGTATAGGAATGGGTATGGGGAGTTCCGAGGCTTGTTTCACAAATGTGCTGATAATAACCATCAAAGTACACAAAACTACAACCTAAAAAGAAAAAGGAACCATTTTTCTGTACTCTGAAGGCACTGCTCAAACAAACAAACAAACAAACAAACAAACAAACAAACAAACAAACAAACAAAATAAATAAATAAATAAATAAATAAATAAATAAATAAATAAATGTGAGATTTCTCTTTCTGTTTGAACATGATATACTGTGATATGTTGTGTTGTGGTATGAGGTGATATGATATCAGATGATATGATATCACTGGTTGGACTTCAAATCAAATCATGACTTTAGGACCACAAATATAGACTAATATGTATATTATACAGAGTTTGTTCGCCTCAGTGTTGGCCAAACTCCCAGACAAGTTGCGTCATTACCAATGTGACATTATTTATTTATAAAATATTCATAGATTACTATGGGATTTCTACCATGGCCCATAGGAGCCTATGCATGCGTCTTTTAGACTCCCCTGAACATACGAAAACAACATGCACCTCGTCTATTTCATATGCTATTAATCCCTACAGCAGCGAAATTGACAAGACCTATGTTGCCTTTGTCTTTTACTACAGAGCTTTGAGCTCCAAAAATGACATGACTGAGTCTGTTTCGCCACAAGATTGACATGTTACGTTTGTCTCTTACTGCACATGGATCTTTGAGCTTCAAATGGCTATGTTATAAAAGGCAATCTTGCATTTAGGGAGCCAGAAAGTTACGAAATAAGCATGACTATAGGTCAATTTTGTGTTTTAAACAAATGCAGCATGGGTCTGGTCAATTTCACGTCTATGGGCCTCAGTGAATGATGAACAAGACATGACCATGTGAATTTTGAGTTTTATAACATAGCCATTTCAAGCTCAAAGAGGCTAAGGGTTGTGTCAATCTCACATCTATGCAGTTCAGTAATTGGCCAAACAGACTCAGTCATGTCATTTTCGGGTCTCGAAGCTCTGTAGTAAAAGATGAACGCGGCATAGGCCATGTCAGTTCCGCTGATACAGGGCTTAATAACATACGAAATAGATGCGGTGCATGTTGTTTTCGTATGCTAAGGGGCGTCTAAAAGACGCACGCGTAGGCTCCTATGGGCCATGGTAGATTTCAATTTTTAACCACAGGAAGTCTCTCTTATCCCTCTTTAATCCCACCCATTACCAAAGTTAATGAGATCAGGAGCTTAATGTGAATATTGGCTCTGAACAAGACTTACCATCAAAATAAACAAGCTCGTCCTGGCAAACATGGCTCCCCCTATCATGCAGACAATGAGGCAAAAAATCAGCACCACAGTAGCATAGAGATAGGAGTATCCCTTGAAGCTGGCATTAATGTCATCTTCAGGAAGAGGTGGATCAAGATTAAGGGTTCCTAATATAACGAAAAGAACACTTTGGTGTTAAAAATGAAAATGAAAATGTAAAACTTAACGGAATAAGAAGAATTTAAAAGTGCTTATTCATAAGTTAAGGAAATGTAATTTAAGGCAAGCCAGACAGATATTTCCAATATACCATCCAGTCTATAAATGTTAAGAATAAGACCCCATTCCCACAGATTTTAGATCGATCTATCCCTGTGGAGTCTCACTAGATTACTGTCAGCTTAGCCGTCTTAAATGTTTGTCCCGCCTACTAAAAGCTGTTAGGGGGTAATTAACTTCCGTGCACGCTCGCAGATAGCAATTTAGCGTGAACCACCAGGGTGTTAGGTCGATCTAGATGGATCGATCTAAATCTATGGGAATGCAGTCTTAGACAAAGCAGAGAATGTGTAAACATACAAAACAACAACATTGAAAAATTTTAATCTTGTACGGCATTACCTTTTATCAATGATGAGGTATATATTATTGTTGCTTATTATTATTATTTGTAAATGCTAAATTTTTGGGTCCCATTTGTCACTTTTTTTGTCTACAATGTCATATCTGTAGAAATTACACATAAAATTTGAACAAAACTTATCTTTGTATTGATATTTCATTTGTCATTTGTCTTTCATTCGTTTAATATTTAAACTTTTCACTGACATCTTTTATTCTTTACTTTTTTACTTTTTGTGACTTACAAAATCTGTAAAAAAAATGACAAATACGCCTTTCTTTAAGTAATACGAGTCATCTTATTCAGCAATCACTACCTCCAGGTCCGAAATTGGACAGCAAGCCCTCCACAAACCCAGCCACATACAAGGCAGCCGAGAAAACATTGGCAAAAAAGAACAGGAGTCCTATGGCCCCACCAAACTCTGGTCCCAGTGCACGGCTTATCATGTCTGGGAGAGTTGTTAAGGTCAAAGGTAAACAAGGCAGCAAAGCTGTCAAATGTACAGACAAAGAACAGAAAATAAAGATGCAAATAAGTGAAAAATTAAATTTTCACAAAAAACTGTTAAATTGCCAGAAAAATTTACCAAACAGACTGCATTGCCTAGTGAAGCTGTATTTTAGTGCCATGTTTCTTTCCTATAAGTTTGAGAACAGTAAGTGACATGATTTCCCTTAAATGGTCATCATAGGAGCAGTGCCCAAAATAGGGGTTTCTTCAAATTTTGATACAACATTAAATAATGTTTAACAGCATAATGACAATCAAATGTTATTAATAAAATATTAGTAACATGGACATTCAGAAAATGTGACAAGCAAAAGTCTTCAAGATCATGGAACTTTAAAGTCACACCTTGAAAATGCCAATATGTGAAAAATTAAATTTTCACAAAAAACTGTT